GTCCTCTGTAGTTGAGAGTCTGTTTCTTGGTTTGTTTCTCTTTCTCTTTTTTTCCTTTGTTCATTTATTTTATCTCTTAAATACCGCATATGAGTGAAATCATATGGTACTTGTCTTTCTCTAACTTATTTCGCTTAGTATTATATTCTCTAGATCCATCCATGTTGTTGCAAATGGCAAGATCTCATTCTTTTTTATGCCCGAATAGTATTCCAGCATGTGTGCATGTGTGTATCATATCTTCTTTATCTTATTTTCTGTATTCTTTTTTAAAATTTATTTTTAATGTTTATTTATTTTTGAGAGAGACAGACACACACAGAGAGAGAGAGAGAGAGAGAGAGAGAGAGAGAGAGCACAAGCGAGGGAGGAGCAAAGACAGAGGGAGACACAGAGTCCGAAGCAGGCTCCAGGCTCTGAGCTGTCAGCACAGAGCCCGATGTGGGGCTCAAACTCACGAACCATGAGATCATGACCTGAACCAAAGTCAGAATGCTTAACTGACTGAGCCACCCAGGCACCCCTTATTTTCTGTATTCTTGATGCTCTGCCATCTGGTGCCTTGCTCATCCTGGAGAGAATGCCTCTCCCAGTGCTAGTTCATGCCCAGAGATAGCAAATGACTTCCCTGTAAGCATAACTTTCATATGCAAACCAACCAATCCAGAGCCCATGTCCACCAACTATCTCCTTTATTAAGTTCTCACAGGTTGAGCCACTATCCAGCTGCCCTAATCACCTCAATACCAGGTACCAGGTAACTACAGACAGTCCCTACACCCCAGAAGCCCTGCTGAAATTACTCAAACTAGCCAATGGTAAACCTTCCCAGCCTGCTCACTCTGCCTTACCCATTCTTTCCCAGGAAAATAACAATAAAGGCTCTTGCTGTGCTTTCCCCTCATGACTTTGGCCTTCTGACTGACCCTGGGGCTTCCCAGTGGCATGTCTCCTCTTCTTGGGAACTGTGAGTTACAAACTATCTTTTCGTTTTGAAGTTTACTTATTTATTTTGAGAGAGACAAAGAGTGAGTGGGGTAGGCGCAGAGAGAAGGGGAGAGAGAGAGAATCCCAAGCAGGCTCCGTGCTGTCAGTGCACAGCCCAGTGTGGGGCTCGAACTCACGAAACCATGAGATCATGACCTGAGCAGAAACCAAGAGTTGGACGCTTAACCAACTGAGTCACCCAGGCGCCCCAAAAATGTTTGCTTTTTGACAGACACCAGTAGGAAGATAGAAGTGAAAGCCACAAATTAAAACAAAATGTTGACAATGGGTATATCTGGCACAGGAGTTACAGCCAGCAAATATAAAGAACTCTGAAAACTCATTAAGGAAACAACCCAATAAAAAAAAATGGGAAAGATAGTTGAACAGACACTTCAAACAAAAATGTACAAAGGTCACTAAGCACATGAAAAAATACTTTTCATTACTCATCAGAGGAATGCAACTTAAAATCATAATGAGATGCCATTACACATCCAGGATAATAGCAAAAATGAAAGAGATTGATGGTGGCAAGGGTTGGCAAGAATGTGGAGCAACCGAAATTCTTGTGTGTTGCTGCTGTAAGTGTAAAATCACAGCCACTTTGGAAGATAGTTTGGCCATGTCTTATTTTTATTTTTATTTTATTTTATTAAAAAAAGTTTAAGTTTATTTACTTTGAGAGAGAGAGAGAGAGAGAGCAAGAGCGAGAGAGCGAGCGAGTGTAGGCAGAGAGAGACGGAGAGAGAGAGAGTCCCATGTAGGCTCCGCACCATCGGTGAAGAGCCCGACGTGGGCTTGAACACCCAAACCGTGAGATCACGACCTGGGCCGAAATCAAGAGTCAGATGCTTAACTAAATGAGCCACCCAGGCGCCCCTGGCCACGTCTTATAAAGGCAAGCATATACTTACACAATTATATCACCCACCAACTCCACTCCTAGGTATTTACCCAAGAGAAATGTGAACATATGGTCACACAAAGACATACCAGAATGTTCACTACAGCTTTATTCACAATAACCAAATAATAACCACCTGTCATCAACAGGTGTATAGATAAACATGGCAATCTACTCATATCAGGGAATAGTATTCAGCATTTAAAAGGAATAAGCTAAGGGCACCTGGGTGGCTCAGTGAGTTAAGTGTTGACTTCGGCTCAGGTCATGATCTCGTAGTCTGTGAGTTCGAGCCCCGTGTCGGGCTCTGCTGACAGCTCAGAGCCTGGAGCCTGTTTTGGATTCTGTGTCTCCCTCTCTCTGTGCCCCTCCCCCACTCGTACTCTGTCTGTATGTCTCTCTCTCTCAAAAGTAAACATTAAAAAATAAAATAAAAGGAGTAAACTAGTTATATAGTCAGTAACACGGATGAATCACAAAATCATTATGCCAAACAAATGAAGCCAGACCCAAAAGGGTATATATAGTATGATTTTATTCACATGAAACCCTAATAAAGACAAATCTAATCTATAGTGACAGAAAGCAGGTCAACGGTTGCCTGGGGCTAAAGGGGTGGTACATACTAACTACTAGGGGCATAAAGGCTCATTTTTGTGTGTGTATCTTCTTTGTGTACTTGAAATGGATACATTTGATTGTATGTAAATTATACCTGAATACAGCTGACTTATTTAAAAGAAAACATGCTAAATGACAATGATCCTAAGGTCAGAAGATGGGAGAGATGAGGGGCGCCTGGGTGGCGCAGTCGGTTAAGCGCCCGACTTCAGCCAGGTCACGATCTCGCGCTCCGTGAGTTCGAGCCCCGCGTCGGGCTCTGGGCTGATGGCTCGGAGCCTGGAGCCTGTTTCCGATTCTGTGTCTCCCTCTCTCTCTGCCCCTCCCCCGTTCATGCTCTGTCTCTCTCTGTCCCAAAAATAATAAACGTTAAAAAAAAAATTAAAAAAAAAAAAGAAGATGGGAGAGATGCATTGTGATGGGGAGGTGGAGAGGAGTAAGGAATATGAAAGCAATTCCTACAGAGAGAGGAGGAGGTGAGGCTGGTTGTAGATGACAGTTTATTGGTATCTTAGATGTGAGAAGATAAAACTTAGGAGAAAGAAGGTGGAGTGAGGCAACAAGCTGGTTTACAAAGAAGGCAAACTCATTAGAACCTAAAAGTATATGGGTGCCTGGGTGGCTCACTCAGTCGAGCATCTGACTTCGGCTCAGATCGTGATCTCGCAGTTCGTGGGTTCAAGCCCCACGTCGGGCTTTGTGCTGACAGCCCAGAGCCTGGAGCCTGCTTCAGATTCTGTGTCTTCCTCTCTCTCTGTGCCTCCCCTGCTTTCTCTCTCTCTCTCTCTCTCTCTCTCTCTCTCTCTCTCTCTCTCAAAAATAAAGGAAGATTTAAAAAATTAACAACAAAAAGAACCTGAAAGTATATGATAAGAATCTAAGACCCTGGGGGTGGGGTTTAAATAATGAAGCATAAAAATGTGATGGAAGGACAGAACATCCAAAAAAGCAAGATCTATAGGGAGGAAGCCTGGCATATGATCCAGAGCGTAGGAACTGTAGCAATTCTCCTGGACGCAAGTCAGGCCAAAAAGACAGTTGACAACAGTAAGGGAAATAAAGGGAGAGAGCAGTCTGGTACCTAAGAGGCCAATGTTATTTTTCCTTAAGCAGCTTCCAAAGTTTAGAACCTTCAAGATGGTAGAAATAATAGAATTTTAAAGGCACCAACCTCTTAGGAAAAGAAAAGTGTTTCTGTGCCCCCAGATCTGCCTGGGTTGCACTCACTCACCCGAACAGCTCTGATGTGGGGTTTTTCTCTCCAAAATCCATGGCTCCTCTCCTTGCTCCAACTTGAAGATGACTTCTGGTTTGGGAACTTCATACCCTGTTAACAGGACATGATAGAATTGGGTCCAGCTAATTGCTTTCCACTTGTTCTTTAAAAAAGTAACCACATTTCACTGGGAAAAGAGCAATAATCACAGAGGTTAATGGACTGAAGCATCTCAGACCAATCAAGGATGCCACCAGCACACACATCAGATGTCGCAGAGTTCTCAGCAGCCGAGAATGGAAATACTCTCATGGAGGCTCTGTGTTCGTTTCCTAGGGCTGCTCTCACAAAGTACCAAAACCTGGGTGACTTAAAACAGCAGAACATCATTGTCTCACACTTCTGGAGGCTCAAGTCTGAAATCAAAGTGTTTAGCAGGGCCATGCCCTCTCTCACAGATGTAAGGGAGAATCCTTCCTTGATTCTTCTAGCTTGTTCTTTGCCAGCCACGACGTTCCATTCTTTGATGTTCTTAAGCTTGTAAGTGCATCACTTCAGTTACATGGCCGTCTTCCCTCTATGTGTGTCTATTTCTATGCCCAAATTTCCCTTTTTTTATAAGGACACCAGTCATATTAAAAATCTTTTTTAGGGGCGCCTGGGTGGCGCAGTCGGTTGAGCGTCCGACTTCAGCCAGGGCACGATCTCGCGGTCCGTGAGTTCGAGCCCCGCGTCGGGCTCTGGGCTGATGGCTCAGAGCCTGGAGCCTGTTTCCGATTCTGTGTCTCCCTCTCTCTCTGCCCTCGCCCGTTCATGCTCTGTCTCTCTCTGTCCCAAAAATAAATAAATGTTGAAAAAAAAATTAAAAAAAAATCTTTTTTAATGTTTATTTATTTTTGAGAGAGAGAGAGAGAGAGAGAGAGAAAGCAGGGGAGGGGCAGAGAGAGAGGGAGAAACAGAATTTGAAACAGGTTCCAGGCTCTGAGCTGTCAGCACAAAGGCCGACACAGGGCTCGAACCCAGGAACCTTGAGATCATGACCTGAGCTGAAGTCGGACGCTTAGCCAACTGAGCCACCCAGGCGCCCCAGGACACCAGTCATATTAGATTAGGGCCCACCCCAATGAACTCATTTTAACTTGATTTCTTCAGGGGTGCTTGGGTGGCTCAGTTGGTTAAGCAACCAACTCTTGATTTTGGCTCAGGTCATGATCTCACAGTCGTGAGCTCTGTCAGCACAGAGCCTGCTTGGGATTCTCTCTGTCCCTCCCCTCTCATGCTTCCTGTCTCTCAAAATAAATAAACATTAACAAAATTTAACTTGATTACCTCTATAAAGACGCTATTTCCAAATAAGGTCACATTCTTGGGTACCGGGGGTTCAAACTTCTGCATATCTTTTTTTCAGGGGACACACAATTCAACCCTATAAAAATCTGCCCTCTGACCCCCCAAATTCATGTCCTTCCCACGTGCAAAATATACTAACCCCATCCCAATATCCCCCAAAGTCTTAATCATTCCAGCATCAAGTCTTAAGTTCAAAATCTATCAAAATATCAACTCAAAGTCTCAAATCTTATCTAAATCACCCAAATTGGTTATGAATGAGTTGGGAGTGTGAATCATCTTGGGGCAGTTTCTCTCCACGCAAACCTGTGAAAGCAGACAACTTATCTGCCAAAATACCGTGGTAGGACAGGCATAGGATAGACATTCCCATTTCAAAAGGGAGAAACTGGAATGAAAAAAGGGATCACAGGTCCCAACAAAGTCCAAAGCCTAACAAGGCAAATTCCACTAGATTTTCAGTTTTGAGAGTAATTCTTATTGGCTCAATATTCTATCCTCCAAGCCTACAATGGCGGTGGCCCCACTCCGTTGGCCCCAGCCCAGGAGTGGCACCATTCACTATTACCTCTCCTGGTCCATTAGCAAAATATTTGCTTCCTGTTCTTATGACCTTGAGTTCTGCTGTTCCAAAGGGAGGAATGCTTCCACTGGGAGACACAATAGTGATTCCACTGAACTGGGAGACTTATTGCCACCTGACATTTTGGGCCCCTCACATCTCTGAATCAAAAGGCAAAGAAAGGAATTACTGTGCTGGCCTGGGTGACTGATCCTGATTACTCAGGGGAATTGGACTCCTGCCCCACAATGGAAAAGAGGAAGAAGCATGTCTGGAATACAGGAAATCCCTTGGGGGGGGGGGTCTCTTAGTACTACTGTGTCCTGTGATTAAAGTCAATGGAAACTACATTGACTACAACAATCCAATTCAGGCAGATCCTTCAAGGAATGAATTTTCAGGTCACCCCACTAGGTGAAGAACCACAACCCACTGAGGTGTCTGCTGAGGGCAGAGGGAACAAGGAACGGCTAGCGAAAGAAGGAATTCTACCTCAAGACGGCAACACAGACACCTTGCCTCGGTTTTCAGTGTTCTGGCCCGCCCTGAAGATTCCAGACTCAGGATTACAGTATCAGCTCACCCGAATTTCCAGCCTGCAGGCCTGCCCTATAAATTTCAGAACTGCCAGTCCCTGCAGTCAGGTGAGCCAGTTCCTTAAAATAAACCTCTTTCCCAGATTCTGTGTATATGGACGTGTATTCATTCTCTCTGTCTCTATGTATGTGTATGTATGTATAGTGTGTGGGTGTACTCTGTATACGTATATAACCGTATCTTATTGGTTCCATTTCTCTGGAGAGCCATAATACAGATTTTGAGGGTGACTCTAGAGGAAAAGAATAGTAAGAATGAGTTTTCTGAACTGCCTATGGGGTTTCTAGAATTGGTTCCCTATTCTGATTAGATCTGAATGCGCTAACGACTCTATTGCCAGTAGTAAAGAGGGTACCAATAGCCCATGGCATGATGTGGCAAAAGAGATATGCAACATATCACCCCTGGATGCTCCTAATCAAATGCTGATGAGAGGCGTCTTTCTGCAGGACCTTATATTTGATACCCTAGACATTTTTGTCACACTTACAAGTATAAGATTGCCTGGTTGCTCTTAATTATGCTGGTCAAAGTGGGGGGCCAGAAACTAAAGGATGCACTCAGGGATTTGATTTCCCGGCTCAAGCACTGCATACATGACCTGAACATTTCTATGTCTTTCCTGAAAGAAACCCCTACCTCCTGTAGCTGCAGAGTTGATATTGCTGAAAACCAAACCCAGAGTCTCATCCTGTGAATGGCTACATTACCACACAAACTGAATTCCCAACCTCACAGGGTGTCTGCTATTCAGGTGAGGGAACTGACTGAGAAGGAAGGAAACCTAAAAATTGGAATGGAAACATACGAGGACGCTGAACTTCTACATTCTGATGAGTCTTCTTTGCCAGTAGAAGTAGCCCTTCTACCCCTCTCTGAGAAGACTAACCCTACTTTGCCTGAGGACCTTGCAATGGCCTCCTCTGAGGTACTTGCCTTGCAAGGTACTGCTGAGTTCTCCCAGGACATACCCTTATTTGCTTCTAGACCTCTAACTAGACTCAAGTCTCATCAGGGCCCAAAGAGTGAGATATAGTGTAAATTCATGAGAAGGTGCAAAAGAACTGCATTATTTGTCCAATTTATATAGACAGAAATCTGGGAAATCTGGGTAAAAATGGGTATGAAGAGTGTGGGATCATGGGGGCACCTGGGTGACTCAGTCACTTGAGCATCCGACCCTTGATTTCAGCTCAGGTCACGATCTCACAGTTTGTGGGATCAAGCCCTGCATTGGGTTCTGTGCTGACAGTGTGGAGTGTGCTTGGGATTCTCTCTCCCTTTCTCTCTCTTCCCTTTCCCCACTCTCTCTTTCTCTCTCTGTCAAAATAAATAAACTTTAAAAGAGTGCGGGATAATGGAAAGAACATAAAGTTGGATCAGGCCAGATTTAGTGGTATGTGCACATTAAACAGATTCTGAAATTAATGTTGCCACTTGGGTTAGAGAGGGCTTGAACATTTTGCTTGGTTGGCAGAAACGTGGATCAAAACATGGCCTGTACTAAATGCAGCTGAAATGGAGAACTGCTTTGGAAGAACTCTTTATACTATACAGAAAGGCATTCAAAGGCTTGGGGATACTGGGATGTTAGAGTGGGTTTATCATGTAAGACATTCTGTCCCGCACTGGGAGGATCCAGAGGACATATCTGTGACCATGGCTGTGACAAACAAATTTGGGTGGGTATGGGGAGGGGGCAGAATCCTTGAAGATTTCTGTGATTGCTTCTTCTCTGTAGGACACACAATTATAGTGGAAGTGCTGCCACTCAATTGGGAAACCCAAATGCAACGGGCATAATTGGATCCTGGGGTGGCAGGGGCCACATGGAGGCACTGAATTGCTAAATGCAAGGTGGGCACAGCTACTATAGTGGACAGCAGGGTCAAAGCAGTGATCAGAATAGTCTGACTTGCAGAGAGACCCATGGTGTTGGCTAGTTGATCATGATGTCTCTAGAAAACAGATGAGCAATCTACTAAATTCTTTTAAAAAATTTTTAATGTTTATTTATCTTTGAGAGAGAGAGAGAGAAAATCTGAAGCAGGCTCTAGGCTCTGAGCTGTCAGCACAGAGCCCGACGTGGGGCTCGAACTCACGAACCGTGAGATCATGACCTGAGCTGAAGTTAGATGTTTAATCGACTGAGCCACCTAGACACCCCAGCAATCTATTAAATTCTTACTTGATCTGTATAAAGAGAAGAGTTCTAGCTCAAGTGAATAGAAGTCTAACTTGAAACATAAAAACAGAGAGTCTCAGCTCCTCCATCAATTTTCAGACTTGAGCCAGTTTACAGACCCAGAAATCTCTGAATGAAGGGGAGACAGCTCCCCTGAGGAAGGACCCCCACTACACTGTCAAAATTTATACTACTAATCTTTCTCCCAGCCTTCTCTAAAGGGATTTACAGTCCCCTTGTCAGGGTGACTGTGCGTTGAGGCAAAGGACATAGTGAGGTTTTTCAGAGATCATTGGACACCAGTTCTAAGTGGACGCTAATTCCAGGAGACGCAGGATGTCACTGTGGCCCACTAGACAGCATAGGGGCTTATGGGAGTAAAGTGATCAATTGCGATTCAGCGCAGCTCCATCTCACAGGGGGCCCAGCAGTCCCCCAAACCCATCCTGTGGTTATCTCCCTGGTTCAGGAATGCAAAATTAGAATACAGATACGCAGCAACTGACAGAATCCCCATACTGGTTCCCTGACCTGTGCAGCGAGGACTATTACAGTGAGAAAGGACCAGTGGAAGCCACTAGAACTGCCTCTACTAGGAAAATAGTAAACCAAGGAAATATGCATTCCTGTAAGAATTGCAGAGATTAGGGCCACCATCAAGAACCTGAAGGATGCCAGGGCGGTGAGTTCCACCACATCTCTATTCAACTCACCTATTTGGCCTGTGCAGAGGACAAATAGATCTTGGAGAATGACAGTGGCTCATCATAAGCTTAACCAGGTGGTAATTCCAATAGCAGCTGCTGTACGAGACACGGGTTCACTGCTTAAGCAAATTAACGCAACCCTTCGTACCTGGTATGGTAGCTATTGATCTGACAAATGGGTGTGGGTTGGGTTTGTTTTTTTTTTTGGCAATACCTGTTAGTAAAGACTACTAGAAACAGTTTGCTTTCAGTTGTTACGACCAACTATATATATACCTTTACTGTCCTACCTCAGAAATATATCATCAGCCTTTCAGTCCTATGTCATAATTTAGTCTGCAGGGATCTTTTTTTTTAAGTTTATTTATTTATTTTGAGAGAGAGAACAAGTGAGTGGGGGGAATGGGAGGGGGAGAGCAGAGAGTTGGGGAGAGAGACAGAATCCCAAGCAGGCTCTGCACCGCCAGCATGGAGCCTGATGAGGGGCTCGAACTCACAAACGGCGAGATCATGACCTAAGCTGGAACCAAGAGTCTGATGCTCAACTGACTGAGCCACCCAAGTGCCCCAGTCTGCAGGGATCTTGACTGCCTTTCCCTTCCACAAGATATCACGTTGGCCCATTGCATTTATGACATTATGCTGACTGGACCTCATGAACGAGAGGTAGTAATGACCCTTGACCTGCTGGTGAGATATTGGTATGTCACAGGGTAGGACATAAATCTGACAAAAATTTAGGGGCCATCTACCTGAGGGAAAGTTCCATGCCACTGGACCCCTAGAAATCTCCAAGTGAAGAATAAGTTTTTGCATCTGGTTCTTCCTATAAGTAAAAGAGGGATAATGCCTACTGGGCCTCTACAGACTTGAGAGGCAATATATTCCTCATCTGGGTGTGCTATTCTGGCCCATATACCATGTGATCCAAAAAACTGCTAGTTTTGAACAAAGCCCAGAATGAAAGAAGGCTCTTTACAGATCCAGACTGCCATATAAGCTGCTCTGCCACTGGGCCATATGATCTGGCAGATCCAGTGGTGTTTGAAGTGTTCGTGGCAGATAGGGATGAAGCTTTTGGCAGGCCCTCACAGGAGAATCACAGAGCAAACCTTAGGATTTTGGAGCAAAGCCCTGCCATCCTCTGAGGATAACTGCTCTCCTATAGAGAAACAGCTTTTAGCTTCCTACTTGGTCTCAACTTACTCGTTGAATTTAAGCGTTATTAGCGCGTGGAAGAAAGGACACTTAACAAGGACTCCTTCGGGGTGCCTGGGTGGCTCAGTCGGTTAAGCGTCTGACTTTGGCTCAAGTCATGATCTCCAGGTCCGTGGGTTCGAGACCCACGTCGGGCTCTGTGCTGACAGCTCAGAGCCTGGAGCCTCCTTTAGATTCTGTGCCTCCCTCTCTCTCTGCCCCTCTCCCTGCCCTCCCTCTCAAAAATAAACGAACATTTAAAAAATGTTTTTAAAAAGAACCAATGACTCCTTCAGTAATGGGCAGTGAACATGGAAGAGTCCAGTGCTGAATCCTCACCCAGTGGTGGGACACAAGAAATGTGGCCAGCAGGAGAGACCCACTCCCCATTCACAGGGGGCCCAAGTCCTTCTGATCAAGCCCCAGCCTATAGATGGTGAGAGGTCAGTAGTAACCCCTAGAGCACTGAGCCTGGGTCTTCCCGGAGTGTGCTGCTTGAGCATGCTTCCCAAGGTGGGTGGCAAACTCCATCTAAGGCTAAATAATGGCACAAACGTGACAGTCGACAAGTACTATAAGGGAGAGTTGAAAAGAACTTTGAAGCAGCAATTCAAGAGAGCCAAAAGTTGTCATGAGGTGTGACCTCAGATCAGATGTGGCAACTCCACACCCTTGACCCTGGGTGAGAGCTCTGCCCCCTTCAGGCCTGGAACCAAGCAGGTGGCTTGCCCTCTGGAACTGAGGAGGTGATGGTCTGTCACATGCCATTTTCCCAGACAGTGACTTCTGGGCCTGTGGTGGTGGCAGCAGCCCTGTTGGCCGCTGACCCATCCCTGAAGTCATTCATCCCTCTTCTTGAAGGAAAACGCATGTACACAGCCAAACGGCTTTACCAGCCTACCTCCTATCTGCACAATCCCAGGTAGCCTACAGCCTTCCCTCGTTTTCCTGGACAGCTCATTTTTTCCTGTCTCCGTCCTCTTCAGTCTAAGCTGGCAGTATTTCTACTGACAGGGTTGACTGGATTCACAAGGCATACAGCTCATCTCTTTAGCGACTGGTTGTCCACCCCTTTGGTGTTCTTTCCAGAGTCCATCTCATTTTTTTGTGATATGGATAGGCCAAACATTTTCCATATCTTCAAGTTCTGCTTCATTTTTACTAACAATTCCTCTTCAATGTCTTTCTTTCCTCCTACATTTTACTATAAGCAGCAAGGAAAGCATAGGCCATGCCTTTGAACACTACTTAGAAATTTCCTCAGCTAGGGGCGCCTGGGTGGTTGTCAGTTAAGTGTCCGACTCTTGATTTTGACTCAGGTCATGATCTCACACTTCATGAGATTCAGCCCTGCATCAGGCTCTGCGCTGACAGTGTGGAGCCTGCTTGGGATTCTCTCTCTTCCTCTCTCTCTCTCTCTCTCCTCTGCTAGCACGTGTTCTCTTGCTCTCAAAATAAATACACATTAAAGGAAAAAAAATGCCCTTAGCTAAAATTCCAAGTTTGTCACTTACAATTTCTACTTTCCACTCAACAGAACAGAATTCAGTCAAGCTTTCTGCCACCTTATAACAAGGATCTCCTTTCCTCCAGTTTCCATGCTCCTCACTCTGAGACCTCACCAAAAGCCCCTTTAACATTCCTATCAGCAATCTCTTCAAAGCAATCTAGGCCTTTTCTGTGAAGTACCTAAAACCTTTCCAGCCTCTACCCATTGCCCAATTCCAAAGCCACTTCCATGTTTTTTTCAGTATTTGTTACAGCAGCAACCCACTTCCCAAGTATAAAAATTCATGTTACTTTCCTAGGGCTGCTATGATAAAATACCACAAGCTGGACAGCTTGAAATAACAGAAATTTCCTGTCTCACAGTTCTGGAAGCCAGAAGTCCAAAATCAAGGTATCAGTAAGGCCATGCTCTTTTTGAAGTAGAACCTTCAAAACAGGAAGGAACCGTTTCATGTTGCTCTCCAACATCTTGGTGGTCTTGGGCATTTCTTAGCTTACAGATGCATCACTCTAGTGACACGGCCATCTTCTTTTCTTTATGTGTCTTCACACGGTCTTTCCTCCGTGTGTATGTGTCTCTCTGTCTAGATTTCCCTTATTTTAAGTACACGAGTCGTACCAGATTAGGACCCACCCTAATGACCTCGTTTAAGCTTGATTACTTCTATAAAGGCCCTGATTCCAAAAGAGGTCATATTCTGAGGTACTGGAGGTCAGGACTTCAACATATTTTACAGGGAGGATACAATTTTACCCGTTACGTGCTCCTTTGTAGATTCTTAGAATGGCTGTGCTTACCCAATGAGAGCAGGTGGCTGTAGTTTTCCAGCATCACATCCTGGTACAGACGTCTCTGTGTAGAGTCCAACTGCTGCCACTCCTCCCTGCTGAAGTCCACAGTCACATCCTCGAACGACACGGAGCCCTGTAACAACACAATCCTGCTCAGGGTGACATGGCCAGCAGTGGGTGATAGGGAGAAGATCAGTAAGAAATTATTTTATTTTATTTTATTTTAAGTGTTTATTTATTTATTTTTGAGACAGAGAGAGAGCATTCGTGGGGGAGGGGCAGATAGAGAAGGAGGCAGAGAATTCCAAGCAGACTCTGTGCTGTCGGCGGACAGCCCTATGTGGGGTTCGAACTCACAAGTTGTGAGATCATGACCTGATCCGAAATCAAGAGTCAGACGCTTAACCGACTGAGCCACCCAGGCACCCCAAAGAAGTTTTTTAAATGACTTTCACTAGAATATGCTATATGGTGTGTCTATTAAATACCTAGTTATATATAATGTTGTGTAGAATACAAATATTGAATTGTAAATTTTTGCTACTCATTGGTACAACAGTCAGTTGTTGTACCGATTGTTTAAATTAAAATTTAAAAAAATTTTAATGTCCACTTGTTTTTGAGAGAGAGAAACAGAGCACAAGCTGGGGAGGGGCAGAGAGAGGGAGACACATAATCCGAAGCAGGCTCCAGGCTCTGAGCTCTCAGCACAGAACCCCATGCGGGGCTTGAACTCACAAACCATGAGATCGTGATCTGAGCCAAAGTCAGGCACTTAACCGACTGAGCCACCCAGGTACCCCAGTCAGTCATACATTTTTAAGAATAATAGTTTTGTACAGGATTTGACCTTGATCCTATTTTGTTGTTAATTTTAATGGGAAGTTTGTGTTCTATAACTTTTAGAAGGAAGCATGTATACCTTTTTAAAATTAAATTATACACAGCTCCCTCTACTATTGCTTTAATTTATTCGTCAAAAATACAGCCATTTTTTCTTGATGCTTTTTTGTTATTCATTTCTAACTTAATTCCACAGTGTCAGAAAATATACTCTGTATGATTTCTACATATGGTCTATCTAGGAGAATGTTTCATGTGTCCCTGGAAAAGAATATATATACAGCTGTTGATGGCTGTAGTATTCTATTAATATATACATCAAATTGGTTGAGTGTTATTGAAATTTTCTATCACCATACTCATTTGTCTTCTACTTGTTCAATCAATTATTTGTCAACTTTTTGGTAAAAACTGGCAAGGAGATGTTAATGTTTTTTTTTTTTTTTAATTTTTTTTTTCAACATTTATTTATTTTTGGGACAGAGAGAGACAGAGCATGAACGGGCGAGGGGCAGAGAGAGAGGGAGACACAGAATCGGAAACAGGCTCCAGGCTCTGAGCCATCAGCCCAGAGCCCGACGCGGGGCTCGAACTCACAGACCGTGAGATCGTGACCTGGCTGAAGTCGGACGCTTAACCGACTGCGCCACCCAGGCGCCCCTGAGATGTTAATGTTTATGTGGCTAGGCAAAGAACCTAGAATAGCCAAAGCAGGGATTTATATGTAGTGTTAAGACTTACTATAAAGCTACAATACTTCAGACAGTGTGGTATTGATGTAAGTACAGATAGATATATCAATAGAACAGAACAGAGTCAAGAAACAGAACCGTACCCATACAGACAAACTCTTTTTGACAAAGGCACCACAGTAATTCATTGGGGAAAAGGAAGGTCTTTTCAAAAATTGTGCTGGAACAATGGATGTAAGTTTTGGATGAAAAAAAACAAACCTTGGCCCATACCTTATACCACATACAAAAGTTAACAATAATTTGCAGCCACTCTGGAAAACAGTGTGGAGGTTCCTCAAAAAATTAAAAATAGATCTACCCCATGACCCAGCAATAGCACTGCTAGGAATTTACCCAAGGGATACAGGAGTGCTGATGCATAGGGGCACTTGTACCCCAATGTTTATACCAGCGCTTTCAACAATAGCCAAATTATGGAAAGAGCCTAAATGTCCATCAACTGACGAATGGATAAAGATGTGGTTTATATATATAATGGAATACTACTTGACAATGAGAAAGAATGAAATCTGGCCATTTGTAGCAACGTGGATGGAACTGGAGTGTTATGCTAAGTGAAATAAGTCATACAGAGAAAGACAGATACCACATGTTTTCACTCTTATGTGGATCCTGAGAAACTTAACAGAAGACCATGGGGGAGGGGAAGGGAAAAAAAAAAACTTAGAGAGAGAGGGAGCCTAACCATAAGAGACTCTTAAAAACTGAGAATAGGGGCGCCTGGGTGGCGCAGTCGGTTAAGCGTCCGACTTCAGCCAGGTCACGATCTCGCGGTCCAGGAGTTCGAGCCCCGCGTCAGGCTCTGGGCTGATGGCTCAGAGCCTGGAGCCTGTTTCCGATTCTGTGTCTCCCTCTCTCTCTGCCCCTCCCCTGTTCATGCTCTGTCTCTCTCTGTCCCAAAAATAAATAAAAAGTTGAAAAAAAAATTAAAATATAACCTTAGAACAAACGGAGGCGGGGGGGGGGGGAGGGAGGGGAAAGTGGGTGATGGGCATTGAGGGGGGGCACCTGTTGGGATGAGCACTGGGTGTTGTATTGAAACCAATTTGACAATAAATTTCATATTAAAAAAAACCCAAAAAACAAAAATTAACAGTAATTAAGTTCCAGAATGACTGAATTTCTTTTATCAGACCAACTTTCACATAGATAACAACTATACTCTGAACAAAATATTAAAAAAAAACTATCTGGAGATACTGAAGAGCAACAAAATCAGGTATTTACTGGAGGAGAATTGACAATTAGAAAAAGGGACAGCACTGGATATGTTTACCAAATTTACAGCCTTTAGTTTGCGTGTAGACCTAGTCACTTGCCATGGGGGGGGGGGGCGGTAACTAAAATTCCATTAGAAAAACTTCAGTCAAATTGACTTGAGGGGCGCCTGGGTGGCTCAGTCAGTTAAGCGTCCGACTTCAGCTCAGGTTATGATCTTGTAGTTCCTTGAGTTTGAGCCCCGTGTGGGGCTCTGTGCTGATGGCTTGGAGCCTGGAGCCTGCTTCGGATTCTCTGTCTCTCTTTCTCTGCCCCTCCCGCACTCGTGCTCTGTCTCTTTCAAAAATAAATAAACATTTAAAAAAAATCTAATTATTGACTTGAAGAATCAAAGGAGAGTTTTTGCAGACATCATGAGCACCAGAAGGTCAAGGGAGAATTCAGACAGAAAAAGGTGCCTAAATTCTGCATGTGAACTCTTCCTAATCTCTGGTTGACTACACAAATTAACTAAATTTTGGGTTACCACACGCCACAGAGGAGACAGTTTTCCAGTTTTAGTTAAGCCAAGTTAAATACTTGCTAACCCAAATGAAACAAAAAATCAGCAATCTTCAGGGGAACTAAACAGAATTAAAAATGTCTACAATATATGATTCACAACAACCAAGATACAATTGAAAATAACCAACACAGAAAGAGACAGAAAGGTATCAAGAGAAATAACAGAGGTTTAAGAGGAAATGCAATCAGAGACTGACCCTGAACTGATTCTAGTGCTGGAAGTAGCAGTAAAGGATTTTAAACCAGCTTTCTATAAGTATGCTCAAGACATAAACAAAAATATGCTCACAGTGAAAGAATAATAGGATGGTTCAACAGAGAAAAAACTATAAAAATCACCAACTAGACCACTATGTACAATTACATGCAAACAAACTGGACAACCTAGAAGAAATAGATAAATGCCTAGAAACACACAACCTACCAAGCCTGAATCATGAGAAAATAGAAAATTTAAGCGGACTGAATACTAATAAGGAGACTGAAACAGTAATCAAAAACCTCCCAACAAAGAAAAGTCCAGGACCAAACAGCTTCACTGATGAATTCTACCAAATATTCAAAGAATATCAATCCTTCTCAAATTCTTCCAAGAAACAGAAGAGAAAGGAACACTTCTAAATTCATCTTACAAGGTCAAAATTACCCTGATACCAAAATCAGACAAGGCTACCCCATGAAAAGAAAGTTACAGGTCACTATCCCTGATGAATACAGATTTAAAAATCCTCAACAAAATATTACCAAACTGAATTCAACAATACATTAAAAGAATCATACAAAATGATCAAGTGGGATTTATTCCAGTGACATAAAGATGGTTCAACATCTGCAAATCAATAAATATGACACACCACACTAACAAAATGGATAAAAATCATATGATCATCTCAATAGATGCAAAAAAAGAATTTAACAAAGTTCAACATCCATTTATTTATTTTAATTTTTTAAAACATTTATTTATTTTTGAGAGAGAGATAGAGCGCGAGTAGGGGAGGGGCAGAAAGCAAGGGAGACACAGAATCCGAAATAGGCTCCAGGCTCCAGGCTGACAGCACACAGCCCACATGGGGCTCGAACCCACGAACCGTGAGATCATGACCTGAGCCAAAGTATGACACTTAACCAACTGGGCCACCCAGGCGCCCCAGTTCAACATCCATTTATGATAAAAACTGTCAACAAAGAAGGTATAGACAGAAGGTATCACAACACAATAAAAACCATATATGACGAGCCCACAGCTAACATCATAACCAACAGTGGGAAGCTGAAAGCTTTTCTAGGATCAGAAACAAGACAAAGATGTCCATTCTTGCCACTTTTATTCAACAGAGTATTGCAACTCCTAACTAAAGCAAATAGACAAGAAAAAGAAATAAAAGGCATCCAAATCGAAAAGGAAGAAGGAAAACTATCACTATTCACAGAGGACATCACATTATATATACAAAACCCTAAAGACTCCACCAAAAATAAACCTATTAGAACTAAAAAATGAATTTAAGAGAGAGGCGGAAGATGGCGGCATAGGAGGACGCTGGGCTCACCGAGCGTCCTGCCGATCACTTAGATTCCACCTACACCTGCCTAAATAACCCAGAAAACCACCAGAGGATTAGCAGAACGGAGTCGCCGGAGCCAAGCACAGACGAGAGGCCCACGGAAGAGGGTAGGAAGGGCGGCGAGGCGGTGCGCGCTCCACGGACTGGCGGGAGGGAGCCGGGGCGGAGGGGCGGCTCGCCGGCCA